TGCAATCCCAGTGGGCAAGGGAATAATAAGCCTGGTCTTAAAACCAGCAGCGATGTTGCACAGTTAATCTTAACCAGTGCACCTTGAATTCACCTGCCATTATAAAACCAGTGTTTAAAGAATCCATTTAGAAAGGAAACTTCTGGGAGTGAGAAACTGGGATTAAGCTGTTACATTTTGTAGAAACTAATTGACCATTAAAGACAGATAACTAACCCTTCAGATTTTCTTGCAACTATATAAAATGTGAAGTGAATCAATACTAACTTTCTGTTTCAGTATTTATGATTCTATTCTTAGTTTGCTGGAGCAGCAGCAGATTGAAACTGAAAAGGCTCCACAGTTTCATTTCCCTCAGGGCTCTGAGGAAAAGCAGTTAAACTGAGAAAATCAGGTTAACATCACTTTGCTGCTTATTACGAAAGCTATGAGCAGGCATAGCAGAGATATGTGCTAGCCATTCATAGGATTAGGAAAGCGTAGATTAGGACTACCATACTCTAAGGTACAATAATGGAGGCCTTCCCTTAAAATGAAACCAACAAAAAAGATACTCTGAATGAAATGAAGTAACCTGTTTCCTCCATCCAGCAGCCAGATTCATACTAAAATATCCTCTAAGTAGAAGAAAATATGAAAGAGCACCTAAACATGGTCAAGGAAGCATTGTGGTAGGAAGTGTGGTACCCTTGTCTTTCTAGCAGCTGGGTGTGGTAGATCATAGAACACTAGGACTGGAAGGGACCTCGAGAAGTCATCAAGTCCAGTCCCCTGCCCTCATGGCAGGACGCAGTATTGTCTAGACCATCCCTGATAGACATTTATCTAACCTACTCTTAAATATCTCTAGAGATGGAAATTCCACAACCTCCCTGAGCAATTTATTCCAGTGTTGAACCACCCTGACCGCAACTTTCTAATGTCCAACCTGAACCTCCCTTTCTGCAGTTTAAGCCCGTTGCTGCTTGTTCTTCCTGGCCTCTGAGGACAGAACAATTTTTCTCCCTCCTCTTTGTGCATCCTTTCAGATATCTGAAAACCACTATCATGTCCCCTCTCAGTCTTCTCTTTTCCAAAGTTAACAAGCCCAATTCTTTCAGTATTTCTTCATAGGTCATGTTCTCTCGACCTTTAATAATTCTTGTTACTCTTCTCTGGACATTGTCCAAATCTTTCTTGAAATGTGGTGCCCAGAACTGGACACAATACTCCAACTGATGCCTAATCAGCACAGAGTAGAGCAGAAGAATGACTTCTCGTGTCTTGCTCACAACACACCTGTTAATGCATCCCAGAATCATGTTTGCTTTTTTTTGCAACAGTGTCACACTGTGACTCGTATTTAGCTTGTGGTCCACTATGACCCCTAGATCTCTTTCTGCAGTCGTCCTCCCTAGACAGTCGCTTCCCATTCTGTATGTGTGGGATTGATTGTTCCTTCCTAAATGGAGTACTTTCCATTTGTACTTCATCCTGTTTACCTGAGACCATTTCTCCAATTTGTCCAGATCTTTTTGAATTATGATCCTACCCTCCAAAGCAGTTACTACCCCTCCCAGCTTTGTATCATCTGCAAACTTAATAAGTGTACTCTCTATGCTGATATTTAAATTGTTGATGAAGATATTGAACAGAACCGGTCCCAAAACAGACCCCTGCAGAACCCCACTTGTGATATCTTTCCAGCAGGATTGTAAACCATTAATAACTACTTTTTGAAAACAGTTATGCAGTCATTTATGCACCCACTTTATAGTAGCCCGATCTAGGTTACATTTTCCTAGTTTATTGATAAGAATGTCATGTGAGACCATATCAAATAAATTACTGAAGTCTAGGTATACCACATCCACTGCTCCTCCCTTATCCACAAGACTTTTGACTTGTTCTTTTTTAATTTTAACTTCTAAGTCTACCCCTCTTCCACTACCGCTCACTATGTTAGGAATCCTGTCACTACCAATATTCTTGACAAAAAATTCTTTACAAATCCATGCTGGCTGTTCCCTATCACCTTATTATCTTCCAAGTGTTTGCAGATGATTTCCTTAATTACTTGCTCCATTATCTTTCCTGGCACAGAAGTTAAACTGACTAGTCTGTAGTTTCCTGAGTTGTTCTTACTTCCCTTTTTTATAGATGGGCACTTTATTTGCCCTTTTCCAGTCCTCTGAAATCTCTCCTGTCTTCCATGATTTTCCAAAGATGATAGCTAAAGGCTCAGACATCTCCTCTCTCTGCTCCTTAAGTATTCTAGGATGTATTTCATCAGGCCCTGGTGACTGGCAGACATCTAACTTTTCTAGGTGATTTTTAACTTGTTCTTTATTTTATTTTATCTTCCAAGCCTACCCTCTTCCCACTAGCATTCACTATGTAAGGCATTCCTTCATCAGTTGTTTCGGTGAAGACTGAAACAGAAAAGTCATTAAGCATCTCTGCCATTTCCAAGTTTCCTGTTACTGTTTCTCCTCCTCACTGAGCAATGGGCCTACCCTGTCATTGATCTTCCCCTTGCTTCTGATATATTTATAGAAAGTCGTCTTGTTTCCCTTTATGCCTGTAGCTAGTTTGAGCTCATTTTGTGCTTTTGCGTTCTAATTTTGCCTCTGCATTCCTGTGCTGTTTGCCTATATTCATCCTTTGTCATTTGTCCTAGTTTCCACTTTTTATATGACTCCTTTTTTATTTTTAGCTCATGCAAGATCTGCTGGTTAAGCCACGGTGGTCTTTAGCCATATTGTCTATCTTTCCTACGCAGCAGAATAGCTTGCTTTTGAGCCCTTAATAATATCCCTTTGAAAAACTGCTAACTCTCTTCAATTGTTTTCCCCTCAGTCTTGCTTCCCATGGACTTTACCTACCAGCTCTGTGAGATTACCAAAATCTGCCTTCCTGAAATCCATTGACTCTAATTTGCTGATCTCCCTTCTACCATACCTTAGAATCATGAACTCTAAGGTCAGAGATGAGCTACTCACTTATGGCAAGGACCTGAACCTTTTGGGTGGCAATATCCCTTTAACTGTAGGAGTTGCTGATAGTGACAAGTGAAAGTTATTTATATATTTAAAATATAGGAATATATCTTTTTGCTTGAAAAACATGCATTATCCCTAAAAGTAGTCTAGTATGATGACCATGTTTTAGAAACCAATAAACAGTTTGTGCCTCTCGGTCACTAATACCTTGACAGCATGTTGAGTTACATGTCTAGTGTTGCAAGATATCTGTAATTCTTCCAAATGAATGATTTTTCAATTTAAACTTGACAGCTTGAGTTAATTCTTTGGTTAATGTTCTAATACTTTAAATAATATTGCCTCATTTTGTTGAGGGAAGAAGCAAGACATCTTTTTGCATAACAGTACTAGTCAAAATAGATGACCTGACCTAACAAACTATTTCTGGTAGACCTTGCTGGACTGGGGGGGGGGGGGGGGGGGGTGGTTTCACCTACAGATGGGAGGAATAGTAACTGCCCAGAATATACTGGCAGATTTGAGACTGACTTGCTGGAATAATTCCCTTTGTCATAACTCAACAACACTTCCTAAAGTTGGATTATTCATATCTTTTCACAAAACTATTTATGATTTAAATATAAATTTATAATTCTGTGCCACTTTTCAGTGTCCTATTTAATATTAAGATTATAAAAAAGTGCTTGTTAGAGTTTTAGGATGTCTTTAAAAGAACATTGAAATTAACAAGCTCTGAGCAGTGTGTAGACTATAACACTGAGAGCATCCAATGCTAAATCCTGTTCATTCAGTGGTTAAGCGAAAGAGAGTAATTGTCGAAAAGGAGAGGTTTTGCATTAGTTACATTTGAAGTATATCAAGACATTATTAAAATGGCTTGGCTTAGCTCAGAAATTCTGGTGTGATAGGAAACACTGCTGTATCTGTACTGGATGGTTATATCATTAGGCTCACTTGTTTCTGAGTTCCTTATTAGTGTCTGTTCTTCATCCCAGTGGTTCCCAACCTTTTTGATACTGGGGACCGGCAAACCCATTCACAAACTTTTGTTGGACTGGTAACATTTTATTTACATATTTTCATATTCACTATGCAAATGATAAATATGCAAATTAAATGTTACCATCCACCTAAAGCCCAGCCCCAACCTCTAAAGCCTCCCATCGTTCCACTACCCCCCAGTGCCAGCCACTGATCCAAGAGTCCCTTGCACCCAACACCCCCAGTGCCAGCTCCCACCCCTTAAAGTCCCCACACCAGACTTTCCCAGTACCAGCCTCCTGTTTCCAGAGCCCCAATGCACCCACCCCCCAGAGCCTCCCCTACTGCCAGCCCCCAATATTATTCCTGCTCCCAGAGGCCTCTGGTGCCTGCCCTGTTCCCCCCCACCCTCCCACCTTGTCCTGTGCTGTTGCCCATGTTGTGGCAGCTCTAGGAGCCAGGGCTGGGAATACAGCCCAGTGCCTCCCCTCCACTACGGCTGTTGGGAGAGGTATGTTCTGCCCTGTAGCCGGAGGTCTGCAGCCCAGCGGTTAGGAACCGCTGCTGTAGCCTATTGATCTAAATACATGGTGGATGCTGGGACATAAGTTGTTAGCTTATAGTGTAAAAGGTTCTTTGAGATCACCATCAGGTTGTGTCATAGAAAGCCCATTATGTCATCATTGTCCTGTCCTAATATTTTGGAATCACCGTTCTTTCACCTATTTATACACTGGTAAGGCTAATAGGAGTTTCATATAAAGCACCTGGACCAAAGGTAGAATAGATATTTTGGCTAACAATTTTAGGAACTGTCATCTGGAATAAAAACAAAACATGTTTCTAGCAGGAAAAAAGTATACAAAATAAACTTTTATTTTGGCATGTTCGTGTCAGCTTAGTAGAAGAAGCAAAATAGCTAGCGCATTCACATTAGCAACAAACAACTCTCATATTTTAATTGCAATCAATAGCCATTCAAGTGCAACATTAGGTTAATTTTTTTTCTTGATGCATGTCTGATTTTCTTTCCAGGCCTTCCTTGCAGTTTTCCATGTCTCAATGGACTCCTGAATGTAATATAGTCTATACTACAAAAGCGGATATGAAGAGTGAAGTTCCCTCTGATGCACCAAAGAGACAGGAGAGCCTGAAGGGGATCCTCTTGAACCCTGAGCCCATTGGGGCAGCCATAAGTTTCCCTGCAGAAGTTGAGATGATTGCCAGTAAAGTAGGGAATGAATTCTCTCACTTGTGTGGTGACTCTCAAAAGCAGGACATGAATGGCAATCATCCAGAACAAGACAAAGGTATTGGGGTGCGGAAAAAACGCAAGAGTCAGCAGGCTGGCCCTTCATATGCTCAAAACTGTGGTGGTAAAGAAAACCAGGGAATTTTAGGATTAAGACAACACCTAGAAACACAAAGTGAAGACAATGATTCTTCTTTTAGTGACTGTGTGTCTTCACCTTCATCTAGCCTACATTTTGGGGACTCTGATACAATCACATCTGATGAGGAAAAAGAAAGCCCTGTAAGACATACTCAGGCAGTGTTGAGTACAAGTAGAACTCATAGTGCAAGGTCACAAAAGTGGCCTCGTACTGAGACAGAATCTGTACCCGGACTATTAATGAAAAGACCGTGTTTTCATAGCAGTTCACTGAGAAGACTTCCATATAGAAAGAGGTTTGTGAAAACCAGTTCCTCACAGCGAACACAAAACCAAAAAGAACGAATTTTAATTCAGAGGAAAAAACGGGAGGTATTGGCTCGAAGAAAGTATGCTTTGCTACCCAGCTCTAGCAGTTCCAGTGAGAATGACCTCAGCAGTGACTCTTCCTCAAATTCTTCCACTGAAGGGGAGGAGGACTTATTTGTATCACCTGGTGACAACCACCAAAACAGTACAACTGTTCCCTCAGGTAAAAAGAAATTCGGGGGAGGGGGCTGTTTTGAATGAGTAATCTAGTTGGTTATTAATCTGTTCATTTTATGGTGTGTCTGTGTGTGTGTGTGTATATATAGTAGGGAATGTTCAGAAGCAAGTAAATAGCTAATCGTGTAGTCGATAGAATTTCTATAGACTACATGATTAGTTAAGGGAGGAAGCCTCCAGGAGTTACCCTCTGCTGTGACTATGCGGTTTAAATGTAATAACAACTGGGCTGCCTGCTTGCATGGCTTTTACTATGTTTAAACTGCAGAGCTGCAGTGGGGGTAGCTCCTGGACTTGTGAGCTGGGGCTAAGCTAGATTTGCTCAGTCTCGGCTTGCGGTGGGTCCCAACAGGGAGCTGGGACCCTCCCCCCTGGACAGGGGCTGCTCTGTGGGATGCAAAGCGGCCTCTTTCTGCAGCGAGCCTGGACTTGCCGCGGACAGGCAGCACTGTGGAGATGGTGCTGAGGGGAACTGGCACTGGCTCCTGCTATGATACAGAGGCAGCAAGGAGAGCAGGTGGCAATGTGAGTAGTTGACTACTTGCATACATCACTAATACATAGTATGTGCATAGTTTTCCTTATCTTTTTGTGTAGACATTTCAAATGGTGCTCTTCTGTCAAAGGAAATACTCTTTCCTAAAGAAGCTATTACAGTTCTCATATTAAGAGATTTTAGTAGTTAATATTTATCTTAATAATGGTGCATCTTTAAGTTGCAATAAATTAATTGAGAGTTTTAAGTTTCTATAGAAACCTTAGCCCTAAATCCTCCTGCACTGGAATACAATAATGGTTCCCAGCTCACTGGTGGAGTGGATAAGAATCAGTGAGGTAAAAAAAAAAACCCCACGTTTGAAATTAAATGTAGATTTAAAAAAAAAGTACTTAAATTAGATAAGAAATTGACCACCTATGTTAAGGCCTAAGCTTCAATTATTAAAATCTTTTGAATTAAATACAAAATAGTATTGAACAGTTTCTATGTTTTTGCTGTTATTTTAAATAGCTGCATCACTGAACAGATGATAGTTACTTGCTAAACACCTGGAACCAGAATATGCTGAAGTACTAAAGCAGTAGCCTCTTCTGTATATGCTGAGATAATGAAAATGGAAAAAAAATTAGGGATATAAAATCCCAGTTAATCATCTAACCATTTAAAAATTAAGTTAATCTAACATTTAACTGGTTAGCCAATTAAGTGTAATCTCACTGCTCTAGTCCCCAATCCCAGCATGCTGTGGGCAGAGGTCTGCTCCCAGGGAACTGGGGAACTGTTTACCCATTCACATCCCTAATTTTAGTTTAGGTCATTCTCTTCAATGCCTAGTTCAGACTTGAGAAGCCAGTTTGCAGTTGAAAAAGCAGGAAATCTTCTTTCTCTTTTCTAACCTCTGAGTAAACGTAGGCATGAGAGGATGAGATCTTCATCTTCAGTATCTTTGAACTGCGTGACCAGAAACATTCAGTTCACTAGCTTCAGATAATAACATGATTCATTTTGACTTGAAGTTTCCCGGTAACCTCTTGTAACCCTCTAGAACATGGAGTTCTGCAAAATTAAAACTTCAGAAGACCAGGAAGTGTAGTTCAAGTGCCCCCCTTCTCTCCCCACTGCAAAGGGAAGGTGCTACCTACCCTACATTCATACACTTGAAAAGCTATAGTGGCAGTGCAGCAGCCCATCGATACTGTAGACAATACACTATGAACTCTCTAGTTGATGTTGGTAGATCAGTATAGACCAGTGTTTCTTAAATATTTTAAGACTAAGGAACACCAAACAATATTTTTTTTGAGGAACACCAAGGATTTTTTGTTGAGCCGCCCCCACCCCCCAAAAAAAAGGGGATCGGGGGAAGTTGGGGGGAGGATGGGGGAAAGGGTCAGGGGAAAGTTATTGAGCAAAAAAAAGTTGCCTGCGCCTTTAAGGGTGGCCATTTTGAATTCTGTTCTGCGCGGCACACTTCTGACTGCCTCACTGCACACCAGTGTGTCACAGAACACAGTTTAAGAAACACTGGTATAGACCACTCATAAGGCCAAGGTGCTGAATTATGCTTATGGAACTCCTACCCCATAGGACAGGAGGTGGGAACAGGTGCACTATTGTCTTATTCTTATCACCTGTTAGATAAGGTGTTAATCCCCATCAGTATGTAACTAAATAAATAAATTACCATAGTGGAGTATGTAAACTCAGTTTCCCTTTTCCAATTTACATGGTTTACTCATGGAAGGCAAAATTGTCATGGTAGTATTACCATTCAAGACAAAATCTATTCTGCAAACTGATGACAAGGGACCATATTACTTGCTTATCACAATGTCACTCTTGCAAAGTGAGTGTGAGAGCACAGCTCTGCAAAGCTGTCTTAATATTTTGAGCATTTCTCTTCAACTGGATGGGTAAAAATACAGTAATTCAGTATTTAGAAAATAAAAAAGCACCAGGAAATAGCTTTCCTTTTGGGCATGTTGACAAATATTGTTTACTGAAAAATATTGACAAGTGATTTTTTTTTTTGCACTGAATTGAAAGTTCACTTGTATGCCCCTGCAATCAGTGTTCCTATTATTCAGAAACTCTTATTTTAACTTCACAACACGCTAACATTTGAATGTAAATAGCAATGACTAAAGAAAGGAAAAATAGAGCGTTAATTCTCTGTTTACTTACAAGTTGTAGAAAACCTAATTCAATTAAAATAGTTTTAACTTGAATGAAATGTTCTCCCCAAATCTTTTTGGTCTTACTTTTTTTTGGAGGGGGTGGGACTTCAGGCAAGTTTCAAAATGCATTCATTCATCAAAACTGCAGATGAAGATTTGCACATTTAATATGTGTTTCCTCTAAAATACATAACCCACAGTCTCTTGCTCAAAAGCCTTGGTAAAGGGCTAGATTGTGTGTGTTTTTTTTTTTTTTAAAAATGCTTGCAAGTTTCATGCAGGATCATTTTAAATGTTAGATCTAAGTTTGGCACTCTTCAGCTCTTTCTAATCTCCTTTTCTAGTTTGCCTTTTAAGTGGGCATTAAATGAAATAAAGTAGTACAGTGGACACTAAAATGTTTTAGATCATTGTGAGAGAAGCTTGCATATCTGCTTGCTGTCTGTCTGTGGCCATTGAACTTCATCTTGCGTCCACTGACTGTAGAGACATTCTGTTCAAGATTATCTTGTTATTTCTTACCCATTGCTTGAGCAATCTAAAATTGAAATATCTCAGTAAATTGAGCTGTGTTGCCTGATCATGGCTCATGAACCTAAAAAAGTAGTTGTTGAGGGTTCAGAGGGATAGTATTAAAGCAAGACTGCTTTTCTGAATAATTATTTTGAATCTGATTTGGTAAATGCTCTTGATTTGCTTGCATTACAGGTGTGTTACATTGTCTATATCAAATCCCTTTTACTTGCATATACATACTATAAAATTCATATGGACTTTAAGTGTTTTTAATATGTAAAGATAATAACTTATAAACAAAAAATTAATGCCATGAGTTCAGAAGGCTGGAGTAGACTACCTCTCAAGGTCCTTTTCAGACTCATGATTTTGTGAATTTTGCATGACAAAGGGAGTGTCAAATGTACATAATCCAAACTGTTTTTTTTCCCCTTCTTCCTGTTCCAGGAAGTATTGATGAAGATGTTGTTGTGATTGAAGCATCCTCTACTCCCCAGGTCACTGCCAATGAAGAAATCAATGTTACCTCAACAGACAGTGAAGTGGAAATTGTAACAGTTGGAGAAAGCTACCGGTGAGATTAGCCCCTATCTCCGTTGAGGTGGATTGGTTTATGTACTCTAAATATCTTTTTTAAAAGGAGGCTAAACTCTTAAAAATGTGAATATAAGTTTCAAAAGCTGCTTGTACTTTGTGTGCGTATTGTAAAGTCTTCACCAACGGCCTGAAATAAGTATGAAATAGTGATGTTCAGAATGTTTAGTATAGATGGAGGACATCCATACCAACATTTTTCTCATTTCCACTAGTGATCCTTTGTTTTAGGAAGACACTAGAAAGCTTCCACAAGAATTTTGTAGATCTGTTTCCTTGCAGAGTACTTGGTGAAATGCAAATTTTCCAGATTGAGAATCTGTCTTCCTACTAGAGCTAGACTTTTTTTGTTAGGCAACTTTGCTTGAAATGGAAAACTTGGCATGGGTATGTAGAGCCACTCGTTTCTCTTGATATACATGTTTGTTGTTGAGGATGTGCATGCAACTGGACATAATTTTACAAGTTTGTTACTTTTTATCAAAAATGATGACTGGTAAAATTAACAAATGGAGTTATGTAGACTCAGCCTTTAAGACCAGAAAGGACCATCATTATCGTCTAGTATGACGTACACATTGCAGGTCACATTGCAGGTTACCTCACCCACCTACACCTGTAATAAACCCATAACCTCTGGCTGAGTTACTGAAGTCCTTAAATCATGATTTAAAAGCTTGAGGTTACAGAGAATCCACCATGTACAATAATTTAAATCTGCAAGTGACTCATGTCACTGGAATATGATATGGAAGTGACTGGAATATTGGTATAAAAAGGGTACAGCTTGATCAGGAAAATTAGGCAGGGAGAAATATAAAAATAGTATACATTTAGACTGAAGTAGAGATGTAAATAGATGATGGACTTGTTAGTCGTTGGGTAAGGATAAAAGGGGTTAAAAACAAAGGTGGGGGAAGGGGGAGTCTACTAATCAGGTGGAGGAAGTGGATGAGGTGGTTTTTTTTTTTTTTTTTAAATTAACAAAATCATCCAAAACAAAGGAGTTGGTGGTGATGGAGGACTTGAACAATCCAGACATCTGTTAGGAAAACGACATAGGCAGAGCATACGTTCTACAAAACTTGTTGGATAATGGATTAGAGATTTTTTTTTTTAAATTTCAGAAGGTGGAGAAATCTATTAGGGGGAGGCTGTTCTAGATTTTATTTTAAAAATGGGGAGAAATGGGTTGAAAATTTGAAAGTGGAAGGCTGCTTGGGTGAAAGTGATCATAACACGGTAGGGTTCATGATTCTAAGGAATAGCCAGAGGGAGAATAGCAAAATAAAAGCAATGGATTTCAAGAAGGCAAACTTGAGCAAATTCAGGGAGCTGATAGATATGATCCCATAGGGGAAAGCAAGACCAAGAGGAAAAACAATTGAAGACCAACTATTCCACTGTGTAGAAAAGATAGGAAGTATGGGGAGAGACCACCCTGACTTAACCAGGAGATTTTGAATGACCTAAAATAAAAAAGGAGTCCTATAGAAAGTGGAAACTAGATCAAATTACAAAGGATGAATATAAACAAATAGCGCAAGTATGGTGGGGCAAAATTAGAAAGGTGAAGCCACAAAATGAGCTCAAACTAGCTGGAGAAATAAAGGCTAACAAGAAAACATTCTACAATATATTAGAAGCAAGACGTAGACCAATGGCATGGTACACCCATTACTGAATGAAGAGGGGGAAAAACAGTAACAGAAAATGTGGAAATGGCAGAGGTGCTTAATGTCTTTTTTTTTGTTTTTTTTCACCATGAAGGTTTTTTTTATGATTATTAGATGCTTAGCATAGCAAATGCTGGAGAAAATGAACAAGTTAAAATTACTTAGAACAGTTAGGTATCTTGAAGTCACCAGGGCCTGATGAAATTCATCTTCGAATACTCAAGAAGCTGACTGGGGAGATAGTTAACCATTAGCTATGGTCTTTGAAAAGTCATGGAAGATAGGAAAGATTCTAGAAGACTAGAAAAGGGCAAACTACAGGCCAGTTATCTTAACTTCTGTGCCAAGAAATGGAGAAAATTATTTGCATAACATCTGGAAGATGAGGTGATTAAAAACAGTCTGCATGGATTTGCAAAGAATGAATCATGTCATACCAACCTGATAGCTTTCTTTGCTAAGATAACAAGCCTTATGGATAAGGGTGAAGCGTAGACCTGGTATACCTAGACTTCATTAAAGCATTTAATACAGGTCTCACATTACCTTATCTATAAACTAGGGAAATACAACCTAGATGGGGCTACTCTACGGTGGGTGCCTAACGGGCTGGATAACTGATCCCAGAGAATAGATATCAGTGGTTCACAGTCATATTGAAAAGGCACAATAAGTGGACTCTGCAGGAACCAGTTCTGGTTGTATCCTGTTTAGGGGTGTAAAACCATTTGTAGTTGATTATCTGGTTAAACATGAGGTTAACCAATTAAGGGCGGGGGGCATTCCAGTCCCTGCCTGTGAACCCCCTCCCTCCGGTCCTACCGTGGACTCCCCCCCCCCCCCCAGCCCCCCCCCTGCCTCTGATGTGGCGATGGAGCAACCTCTTGCCCACAGCAGGTGAGAAGCTGCTCCTTCTCCATTGTTTAACAGGAACTGATAAGGGTGATGCTTACCCATTAACCTTTCACATATCTAGTTCTGTTCAGTATCTTAACCAGCAATTACATCGGGGTGGGGAAGCTCAGGCCGAGGGACTGGATGTGGTCCCCGGCTTCCCTGGATCCGACCCTGGAGCTCAGAGCCCCCTCACCAGCATTGCAGAGCCCCCACCGCAGGGCTGGAGCACACAAAAAAATCTACTAAGCTGGGCCCCTCTAGACTCTGGTGGGTTTGGGTGATGGATTTCTTGTTTTGTTTTGTTGCTTCTCTCTCGTGTGGCCCCAGCTGATTTCCCCCACCCCCTTTTTGTGTGTGTGTGTGTGTGTGTGTGTGTGTGTGTGTCGTCAGCAGCCTCTGACGCTTGCAAGCTGGGAAGTTGGAAGTGCTTCGGAGAATAGGATTATATTCAAAATGATCTGGGCAAACTGGAGAAATAGTAAATAGGATGAAATTCAATAAGGACAAATGGAAAGTACTCCACTGAGGAAGGAACAATAGGTCCCATATATAATACGGGAAATGACAGCCTAGGAAGGAGTACTATGGAAAGGGATATGTAGGTCATGGTGGATGACAAGCTAAATGAGTCAACAGCATAACATTGTTGCAAAAAAGCAAACATCATTTTGGGATGCATTAACAAGAGTGTTGTAAGCAAGACACAATTCTTTCACTCTACTAGGGATCATAGTATCATAGGACTGAAGGAGACATCAGGAGGTGGTCGAGTCCAATTCCCTACCCAAAGCAGGAACAATCATGTCAGCCAGGGCTTTGTCAAGCCAGGATTTTAAAAACCTTGAGGGATGGAGATTCTACCACCTTACGAGGCAACCCATTCCAGTGCTTCACCACTCTACTGGTGAAATAGTTTTTCTTAATATTCAACCTAGACGTGTCCACTGCATCCCTCTCTCGGTCCTCTTTGGAACTTCCCTTCAGGAAGTTGAAGGCTGCTATCAAATCCCCCCTCATTCTTCTCTTCTACAGACTAAACAAACCCAAATCCCTCAGTCTCTCCTCATTGGTCATGTGCTCCAGCCCCCTAATCATTTTGGTTGCCCTCTGCTGGACCCTCTCCAATGCATTCTGTAATGGATGGCCCAGAACTGCACACAGTATTCCAGGTGTGGCCTCACCAGTACCGAATAAGGGAGAATAATCACTTTTCTAGCTCTGCTGGCATTGCTTATCCTAATACACCCTACTATGCCATTAGCCTTCTTGGCTACAGGGGCACATTGACTCATATCCAGCTTCTTGTCCTTTTCAGCCCATGTCCTTTTCTACCAAACTGCTGCTTAGCCACTCGGCCCCCAGCTTGGGATTCTTCGGTCCCAAGTGTAGGACTTGGCACTTGTCCTTGCTGAACTTCAGCAGATTTATTTTGTCCCAATCCTCCAATTTGTCCAAGTCTCTCTGGGCCTTATCATTACCCTCCAATGTATCTACCTCTTCCCCCTAGCTTAGTGTCATCTGCAAGCTTGCTGAGGGTGCAAGCCATCCCCTCATCCAGGTCATTAATAAAGATGTTGGAAAAAAAACTGGCCCCAGAACCGATGTCTGGGGCCCTCCACTGCATGCTGACCATCAACTAGACATGGAGCTGTTGATCACTACCCGTTGAGCCTGACAATCTAGCCTGCTTTCTATCTGCCTTACAGTCCCTTTGTCCAATCCATACTTCTTTGACTTGCTGGCAAGAATACTGTAGGAGACCGTATCAAAAGACAAGTCATATCACAGCCACTGATTTGCCCATGTCAACAGAGCCAGTTACCTTGTCAATCAGGTTGGTCAGGCAAGACTTGCTGTTGGTGATTCCATGTTGACTATTCCTGATCACCTTTCTCTTTGCCCTATACTTCGAAATGGATTCTTGAAATCCCCTCCATGATTTTTCAGAGGACTGAGGTGAGGCTGACCAGTCTGTAGTTCCTGGGATTATCCTTCTTCCCTTTTTTAAAGATGGGCACAACATTTGCCTTTTTCAGTTGTCCGGGACCTCCCCCAATTTTCAGGAGGTTTCAAAGATAGTGGCCAATGGCTCTGCAATAACATCTACCAACTCCCTCAGTACCTTTGGATGCATTAGTTCCAGCCCCAAGGATCTGTATATTTCCAACTTTTCTAAATAATTTTAACCTTTAATAATTGTTTCTGCACCGTGGGTTGCTCATCTCCTTCCTGTACTGTGTTGCCTAGTGCAGTAGCCTGGGAGCTGATCTTGTCTATAAAGACAGAAGCAAAGAAAGCATTGGGTACATCAACTTTTCCCACATCACCTGTCACTAGGTAACCTCCCTCATCCAACAAGAGGCCCACACCTTCCCTGACCACCTTCTTATTGTTAACATGCCTATAG